CGGGGAGACGCGGGGGCCGGCGGGCAGCGAGCGTGGAAAGGCGCCCCCGGGGCGTGCGCGGCCTTCGCCGGGTGCTCGGAGGGGGTCCTGGTGCGTGGAGAAGGCCCCCGGTCCTCCCCGCGAGACCTCCACCCCGCGAAAGAGAAAGTCAGCTCCAGCCTGGCAATCCTCCGCCCTTACCCTTCTACCCTCCAATCGCCGCTGTGCCCCTTAGTAGCGGTGTGATTCTGAGCAAGCTCGGAAGTGCCCCCTGCGTAACGTAGGGATCTCAGCTAAACGATCGCACGCTCGAGTGTGTGCGCCCTAGGGGCGTTCTCGAGTGACTGCTAAATGTTAGGTAACTGCCACCGCCGTCGTCCGCATTACCATTTTTGTGGTCCGTTTACTTGGCCAGCCAGCCCCTCTGGTCACTGACCAGAGAGGAGAAGCAGAAGGTGGTCTCGGGGTGTGTGCAAGCCCCTCTCTGCGGGTTACTGCGCTGGCTGAAGCTCCTTCAAGTCTACTGAGATCATCTATTACCCTGTCAGAGCTGTTGTCTAAAAGGAATTGAACATCTTGCCCGCTCCTCACCCCTCGGAAGAAACCACACAGCTCTGGTTTTTAGCACAGAGATACGTGACCCTGAGGAAGCTCAGACACTTCCTTTGCTCTCAGTACGAGAGGTCAGTGAAGAGTGTCCAAGAGGAAGTGATCAGCTAGATCAAGCGCGGCAGTTTAAATAAGAGCTGAGAATTGACCTTTGAATTTGGCAAGGAAATGGGTGATTACGGTGAAGCTGGGCAAGTGAGTGTCAAAGGAAAGATTGGGATAAAATCTGATTGGAATGGATTCAAGAGAACGGGACCACGGGAAATAGCATGAATGAAACGTTCTTCGCATTTTGCCTCTGAGTTTTGCTGAAGAGGAGGGAGGAAGAAAAAAGAGAGCGTTGTTTTTGAAAGATGTGGGATCATGGGATTTTTTTCCCCCCCTTTTAAGCTAGGAGGTGTTACAGCATCTCTGACTATCGTTGGAAGTGATCCGAACGTGTGGGGGAAGGAGGGAAGACTTGTAAGAGTGCTGTCGCTAGGTAGGCAAAGGGGAAGAGACCCAGTGCATAAGTGGAAAAACAGGCCTTAGGTACAGGCATGGACTAACTGGAGATTTCAATTTAAGTAAGGAGGCGAGGTTATCAGCAGAGAGTTAAGAGGGAGGTGTTACGAGTTTTAAAGAGGAGAAGACAGGAAGTGATCATCTAAATTGAGTCTTTGACTCTACAAATATCTAAGGAATTGTGGTAGTAGGAGTTTGCTTTTTATGAGTGATTGCGATTTAAAAGTGAGCCCAAGAGGGCTGTGGTGGTGCCTGCCTATAACCCCAGCCCTTGCCTGTAATCTCAGCGCTGGGGAGGCAGAGGCAGGAGGATTGCTTTGAGTTCAAGGCCAGCCTAAACTGCATAGCAAAACCCTGTCTTAAGGCAAGAAAAAAAAAAAAGTGAGCCCAGACAGTATGGGGTCTTTTTTTTCCTCTAGTCGTAGTCAGTATGCGTTGAGTAGGAGAGAGGAGATTTGACTGGGGTTGGGGTCTTGTAGGTGAGTCTATAGAGGAAGAGAGGAGGGCAGTAGGGTGCATGCAAGGGAAGACTTGGAGAAGATTGTAGTTACTCATCCTTGAAAGTGGAATACAAGGAGGGCACAGTTGTAGTGGACAGCGGTTCTCTGAGTGTGATGAATGGGCCACGGGGTCCCTGACACTGTGGGGGTGAAACTGCTCTCTAGGAGTGCAGTACTCAGCCATCCTTTGCCCTTTACAGTGCGTGGACCCCTGCACTGGTGGTGGAGAGCAGTGGAGAAGACCGGTAGCACCTGTGCGGGAATCAAGGCGATGGCCCTGCACTCTGTGATTGTATTGTATTGTATTCGTTTATTTTTTGAGACAGGGTCTTGCTGTGTAGTCCAGGTTGGCTCTGAGTTCACTGTGTAGCTCAGGCTGTCCTCCAACCTGTGGCATTCCTCCTGCCTCAGCCTCCTAAGTGTGTGACACTACCTCTGGCTGTGTATTTTTTTTTTTTAAAGCTGGTGACACTTAAAAATGCCATTGGTGAAACAGTGAAGCTACTGTGGCAGGGCGAGACTGTATCAAGACTCAGTTTCACCCCAGAATGAATGTCTTTCTAATGTTCTGTTTGATAAAATGGGCAGTTATTATGCACTTTGTCTTAACGGAAAGCGCTTATGTAAGTAATTGCATTGTGTTGTGCACGAGTCACTTTTTTCATGGAACATTTTGTCCTCGAAAAGCTGTGCTCATTTAGAGTTGGGTGTTTGGCAGACATTATCTCTAAAAAGAGGGAATCAAGACTTACTGTAAAGGAAACAGTTGACAGTATCTGTGATAAAATCGAAGCTAATTTAAGTGAGCTTGGTATTGGAAACTAACTTGCCAATAGCAGGTGACTTTTAATGAATGTGAATTTTTGATTACACATCAGATGTGCAAACATTTGCAAGATCTATATAATTCAGTCAAATGGTGTTTTCCAAATAACTAAGGCATGGTTAAAAGAGCCATCCCAAGTGCAAGACAGGTGAATGGCTTTTAGTAGATTAAGAAGCAGTTTCGTTGGTGTGATTTCAGATTGTGTTGCAGCTGACCCTTAAGAGTTGGTGAGTTTTGGTGCAGTATCCATTTCTCTGAAAAAGCTTTAAAATGTTGTTTCCTTTCCTAGTTAGTACACGTTTGTGCAAGGCCAGAATTTCATCATATACTACAACCACACTGATGAAACACAGAAGCAGATACTATGAGAATTCAGCTGTTTTGGGAGGGGGAGATATAGTTGTTCTCATTAACATGTTTGTTACATGTGATAAACTTGATACTTTGATTTAAATAAAAGCCCATCAGTTGTAATTTATGATATGGCATACATCAGGAGATACAACCCAAAAAACAGAAGCTCCTTGGTGCCCTTAATAACTCCTCAGAATGTAAGAGTTTCCAAGACACAAATGTGAAGCGCTTGTTCTGTAGTTGCTGAGGGTGGTTGGAGGAGAAGGCCGTGAAAGGGAGAAAGTGAAGGAGCTGGTGTTTTAGAGTAATGGGAGGGCTGTTGTGGATATGCAGATCGCTGAGATTTAGAAGGCTGGTGTTGAAGAGAAAGGAAGCCAGCTCAGAGCTGAACAGTTTGGAAGAATGAAATACGTTAGATCTTGGGAAGGGGCCTCAAGATAGGACCTGCAAGGTCATAGGATCCTGGTAAGTACGGGGTCAGCCCACTGCCTGAAATGTGTTGATGTGCTCGTTAGGGAAGGACCCATTGATAACACCAGCAAAGAATCTGGTGTCTTTCTTTCCACTTCACAGTTCCAAGTTAGGTGATGCAGATTTCTCATGGAGCTGTGTTCCAGAGACACATTTTCTTTCTTTTTTTTTTTTTTAATTTTATTTTAAAGAATAAAATAAGGGTAATATAATAGGGGGGGCTTACCAAATTACAGACAAAGTGGTAGGAAATTATCAATGGTTATTGTTTTACATATTGCTATCTACAAGATAGTTTCTCAGGAAAACAGACAAATAATAGTGAGTTACAGACAAAAGAGGTAGGAGATTATCAAGAGTTGTTGTACTATACTTTGGTATCTTCAAAGTGGCTTCTAAAGAAAATAAATAGACCTATACATGAGTGACCTGTTGAATAATCATTAACTTTTCTCAATGGTTGTTGTAGGAAACACATAATAACAGACATGCATCCATTTATGAAATAGGATAAGAACAATACAAACATTGCAGAGTTATGGATAGATTAGTAGGAAAATATCAATGGCTGCTGTAATACATGGTGGTATCTTCGAAGTGGTTTCTCAGGAAGACAGAGATATGCAAGAAGGATCTAACAAGTAATTACAGCCTAAGGGTTGTCAAAAATCAAGTGAGCCGTCTGGGGCGAAAGTCATTTTTGTAGTGTTTTCTCGCCAGCCTCCCATCGCATTGGGACCCCACAACCAGTTAGTGTCCTCTCCCCAACTGTCAGCACAGGCAGCAGGAATCCTGCTGCAGACTTCTCCAGAGCTCCACCACAGCCTGTACTGTCAGAGGAAGAATGGCTTCCAGGGTATCTCCACAGGTATTGTGCAGGGTCCTCCTGATTTACAGCTTCCGAGCGGCTCTCATGACCCCAGTCCACAGGACCTCTGACTCCTCAGGCTTAGTCTGCATTCTCATGTTCTCTGAGTCCTTGTTCAGCAGCTGCTGCTCCGCTGGTTCTGGACCTTTCTGGTTCTCAATGGCAGGAGCAAGAGTGACCCATTGCATGGCATGTATTCCTAGGGGTTTCTCCATGTTCGAATGATTCACACACGTCTGTTGGTGGGCATCTGCAGCTGGTACATGGTGGGCCAGTTGTGTCACTGTTTCTCTGCGTCATGGTTATTCTCAATTGAGCAGCGGCAGCTGGCCTGAGGGCCGGCGCACAACAGGGCTCTCTGCTGTGTGGCTCCCCGTGAGCCTGGGCCCCTCCTTTCGGGCGCCTACAAGGCAGGGAGCCAGCCGGTCGGAAGACCACCGGCGCTCCCCGCCCATGGCTCCCCCTGCACCTGGGCCCCTCCTTCCTGGAGCCTATGAGGCAGGGAGCCAGCGGGTCAGAAGACTGGCGCTCCCTGCCCGTGGCTCCCTGTGCTCCTGGGCCCCTCCTTCTGGGTGCCTACGAGGCAGGGAGCCCAGGGACACATTTTCATGGTATTAGTTTTTGCCAAATTTTAGGCCATCCAGATAGCACAGCTGTAGCGTAGCTGGGTGTTCAGGTGCTCAGGAAGGAGGGGAGAAGAGCTTTTGGTGGCCAGTTGCCATCTCTGGCATGCTTGAAAACAAGGGCTATCTCTTGTAGTTATTGTGTGTCGGTAATATGAGGTAGGCATTTGATGATTAATTAGCGTTAGTGGAATACACCTTTTGTGTTTGGGGATTGAAGTACATAAGAGAATTTATCTGGAAATGTCTAGAAGGGGGTTGGCTGTCTGCTTTAGGCTGAAAGTGATCAGGGTGTTGTGGGACTAGTTTTTTAGGCTTCTATCCCTCATAATTCTTGTGTTTTAATGTTGGAGATGCCAAAAGAATACTTAACATAAAATATGGCAGGAAACAGTGAAATAAAGTTAGCAGGTCACCTATTGGGCATAATCTGTGACTGTGTTCAGCAAGAGGAGAGAGGCGCTTTCTGTTTGCATAGTTAACTTGTCTTCTCTTGTTCATGTATGTCTTCTCCCTGGTGTAGGCGCCTTGCTGTGACAAGCTTTATACCTGCCGGCTATGTCATGATAACAACGAGGATCATCAGCTAGATCGCTTTAAAGTACAAGAAGTGCAGTGCATCAACTGTGAAAAAATTCAGCGCGTAAGGTTTTATGACATATTGTTGCTTCTGTCTGTCTTGTCTGCCTGTCTGTTTTGCTAAGTTACCCAGGCTAGGTTCGAAATTGTGATCCTCCTGCCTCAGCCTCCTAGAGTGCTGTGATTATAGGTATGCACCACCATGCCTGATTTCTTGTTTAAAAAAAATCAAAACAGTTTGAAAAAATTTAGTAAAAAAAGTATAAATCAGACTTCTTTAACTCGTAAAGTAAGCAGTGTCTTTGATTTAGATGTGTAAAAACTTGTAAAAATAAATATACTTTAACATAAATTCTTGATAGGTGGTGCTGGACATGGTAGTTCATGCCTGTAATCCCAGCATTTGGGAGGCTGAGGCAGGAGGATTGCTGTGAGTTCAGTGCTAGCCTGGGCTACACAGTGAGTTCAAGGCCAACCTCAACTACATAGAGAGAATCTGTCTCAAAAAAAAAAAATCTTGATATTCAAATAATAATATTTCAAAATGTTTTGGTAGATTTATTCTTTTTTTTTTTGCCTTTTTGAAACAGTTTCACTGTGTAGTTCAGGCTGGCCTTGAACTTACTTTGTAACGCAGGTTGAGCTTGAATTTGCAGCAATCCTCCTGCCTCAGCCTCCTGAGTGCTGGGATTATAGACATGTGCAACCATGCCCAGCAATTTATTCCAATATCTGTTTTTCTGTTTTTAGGCCCAGCAGTCTTGTGAAGATTGTAGCACATTGTTTGGAGAATATTACTGCAGTATATGCCATCTGTTTGACAAAGATAAGAAGCAGTATCACTGTGAAAACTGTGGAATTTGTAGGTACTGTATGTGAAATATTGTTTCCTGATTATTTCTTCCTTTTTTTTGAGACAGGGTCTCACTGTGTAGTTCAGTCTGGCGTTGAGTTCATGTGGATTCTCCTGCATTAGCCTCTTGAGTGCTGAAATTACAGGCATGTACCACCATGCCCAGCCTTCTCATTACTTCTAATGTACCTGGGCATAACAGTTTTAAAAGTCACCTTTATTAGGATATAGTTTACATCTGATAAATTACATCTGCATTCATGTGTCCATTTCAGTGTGTTTTGATTTCTCTGTCTCTCTTGAAATGTGTTACATCATTCTAAAACTTTTTTCATCTTTTTTTTACAATAGTTTGGCCATTTACTACCATGTGGCTCTTTTTATTTGTTTTTAACTGTTCGTAGTACTGGGAATTGAACCTTTCCACATAGCTGTGTCTCCAGCCCTTTTTTATTTTTTGAGACCGGATCTTGATTCAGTTGTTAGGTTGTCTAGGCTGAGCTTGAATTTGTATCCTCTTGTCTCACCCTCCTAGAGTGCTGGGATTACACTGCCACACCTGGCCTACGTACTTTTACGTCCATATATGTGCTCATAACCATTATGAGCCATATTTAATAAGTCTTGGTGTACCAACCTCATGGAAGGTGGGAAAATCTTATGGTCATATGGTCTTAGCAAAAGCTGATGGTATCAAGTTACAAAATATCTGTGATTTGAGGATACCATCTTTTTATTCTAAAAATTATTATGCATTCCTTTCCTTTTTCTTTTTTCTTCTTTGTGGTGCTGGGACAGGAATCGAAGGTCTTGCACATAAGAAGCAGTGCTCTCCTGCTGTGCTGTCCCCCTCCTCATTTGTCCACATGGTGCCAGTCAGCCTGTTAGAGATGAGAGCCCAAACTGCAACCTAAGACCCGCGTACTTATCGCAGAGTGCCAGCACTTTGCAGTTAAAGCTGAGGTTTTAGTTTAGAAACAGACAACTCACACCTGAACATCTTTTGTCTTAAAAACACAGTAACGTGTGCCATAGGCTGTTGTCATCTGACTGACTGCGTGTGGGGCCACGTCAGTGTCCTCTGTAGAGTCCCAGGCAGTGGTTCTCAGCTTGGGGTGATGCCCTCTGGAGGTGTTTGGCAGCCTCAGGAGACAGTTTTGGCTGCCACACCAGGGGTCAGGAGCGCTGTGACACCTGCTGGGTAGGGTCAGCATGCTGCTGGTCACCCTGCGGTGTACAGGACAGTCCCCGCCTCCAAGCATGATCCCATCCAAGATGTCCATAGTGCCTGGTCTCAGGCTGCTGTGTTGCTCTCTGCCTCTTTGCAGTTATTTTCTGCTGTGCCTCGAATTTCCTCTTGTTATTTTTTTCTCCTTACATTTTTGAGTGGAACAGGAAAATTTTGATTTCTCAACTGTATTCAAGGAATACATGAGAAAAAACATCTACAAAGCAGGTGTCTCCAGACCTTAAGTCACCTTCTTGACAAGTGGTATAGTGCTATGATCAATGCAAACAGAAAACAGAAGGGTCTCGCAGTAGTGATATCTATACCATATTGTATCATTTTTTTCAGGTGTTTCTACTGTACTTCCCATTTTAGTTTTTGGGTAGGATAGTTAGAAATAATTGTCATTAATTTGAACAAATCCCTAGGATACTGAAATATCAAAATGTTTTAAGATAGAGAAAAAAATAAGATGACTAGGATCCCGTTGTATCAGATTTATGAAAGGGTTCAGTGGGTCCATATTGTAATTGCAAGATGGATTGAATATTTTATTAAAGAAAATAGATTTCCCCCTTGTTCTGTGGGAGATCTCTAAGTAATGCCATGAACTATTAATCTTTAAAACAGAATTGATTAAAAAATGATCTGTACCAAGGTACAGAATGGATGTTTTATGATGAAAGTTTTGTAATCTTAAAAATATGGTAAATACTAAATTTAATCCACATCATTGGTCAGGACTTCTAATTTGCCAGTCGTGCACTGTGGATCCCTTAGGAGACTGCTGGGCCTGTAATACTTGGGCATAGGGTCATTTTCACGTTCAGTGGCATGGAGGCAGGAACTACTTAAAGTACAGAGTACCTAAGATGTTTTCAAATAACAGAATTGTTCCATACGTTTTTGAGTGTCATAAAATTAATGTGACTCAGGTTTCAGACAAGTGGTTACGATCACTTCAGATAGGTGTTATTACATCTGTTGTCGTTGATTGAAATGGCTGTTCTGCAGTTGCTTTGAGTGCTTGTGGCACCCTAAAAACCCACCCTTCTGGAGGATTTGCAAAGCTGTTTTGATTTTTTTAAAGATACTGAGAATAAAATTATTGAGATTGACAAATACTGTTTTTGATCAGAAATGACGTATGACCATCAAATAATTATTATTTTTAAGTAAAAAAAGCTATCAAAAGACAAGTTTAAAATGTTTGTGTAATGGTAGCATTCTCATAGTAACTTTAAAAATCATGTCATTTGAATGTATGAATTCTTACATTTTCATTTCAGTATCAGTCACACATTTGTTCACATGAGTTTATAGCAAAAGTGACACTTTAAATTAGGGGCAAGAGCCAGGCATGGTGGCGCCCTCCTGTAATCCCAGCACTCAGGAGGCTGAGGCAAGAGGGTTGCTGTGAGTTTGAGGCCAGCCTGGGCTACAGAAGCAAGTTCAAGGCCAGCCTGAACTGTATGGTGAGGCCCTGTCTCAAAACAACAATCAAAAACAGCAGAAAAACCAAATGAAAACAAACAAAAATTAGGGGCAAGGATACTAGGATGGTTGGTTACTCATTTGGAAAACAAAAAAGTCTTTATATTCATTAAAGTGTGGTTTTAGCGTTATGTGGCAGGAAGCCAGGATAATAGTGACTTCTCCGGGAAGGTAGAGATTTACTTCTGGCAAAGTCCTGGCTCCTTTTCCCTCCCTCTGCATGGGTGTTTCCTTGTCTGTGCGGTCTAGTGGGTCCTGTTTTGGCCAGTAGGGAAGTGAGTGAAAGGAAGGACACCCTTTCCTCTTCAGGGCACAGCAGAACTTGATTTTGCTTTTCTGTCCACAGAGAAGATGGAAAATAGTATTTATTCTGGACAGCTCTTGAATAGCTCAGTGCCTAGTCAAGTGTTCTGTTACTGTGGAAGAAGCAGAGAGGAGAAGTTTAGGGACAGCTAGCAATTTGCCTTTACCCTGTCCAATAAACTTCCGAAGGACTAAAGAAAAATATGAAGGAAAAGCAGAAGTATTAGCAGTATGCAAAGGATAATGTGTTTATGGTCTATAGTTGGAAGAAGTGATCTGAGCGATAGGTAGAAAGCATAGCTATAAAGGAATGTATTGATGGTGCATAGGAATGAAAAGTGGCTGTACCCAGACAAGGTGGCGTTCACCGGTACTTCCAGGTACTTGAGAGGCTGAGGCAGGAGAACCTTGAGTTTGAGGCAAGCCTGGGCAACACAGGCAATACAGTGAGACCCTCTCTTTAAAAAGGAGGAGGAAAGCTCCTGTAGGAGAGATGACAGGGCTATCTGAAGACCTTCCAAATACCTCAGTAGAAAAGTGGGCAGAATGTGTCACCAGAAAGTGTACAAAAAAATCCACGTGGTTCATAGCATTAAAGTATGTTCTGTCTTGTAATTTGAGAGATGCAGATTTGTTATTTGTGTAATGTGTGCATAACAAGTGCTGGCCAGGCTGTGGCAACAGTGCCCTCTACTGTCGTGCACCGTGGGTGGGAGGGTAGATCCACACTTCCTCGTTGGAGGTCAGCCTGGCAGCGCCGCAGTGAGCGATCCAGTGCCTCAGTAGCTTCAGTTTTAGGAATCTTGTTTGAAAACTGTATCTTGACAAGGATGCATGAGTTTTTATTGTAGCGACTGAAAATTGTAAATTTTATCAATAGAGGAATGCTTTAGAAAATAACAATATATAGTATCTGTAACGTATCAGTCCTGTTATTGTGGAAGAGTTGCGTGTGTTTGTTGAGAAAAATAAAATAGTTCGTTACAGTCAGACATAATCTTCAGGATATATTGGTAAATGAAAAAGTTGCAAAACATCATAGATAGGAAGAATCTCTTTGTGTAAGGAATAAAAGCCAAACTGTATATCTCACTTTTCTCTCTCCTCCTCCTCCTGTGTGTGTGATTGTACAGTCAAAACAAACCAAACAGCATTAGGTGGGTGTGTGCCATTCTGTTGAAGGTGCTTATATTTGGAGAGAGAGATGTTGCAGAGGTAGGAGTTTATCCCTTATCAGTGTGGTTTAAGTTTTTTTTTCTTTATTGTAGGACTAACTTTAGGTGTTATATTATCAGCAAGGTATCCCTATTAAAAAAATCTAATGTTTTGGCTTTCATATGTTTTGTTAGGATTGGTCCAAAGGAAGATTTTTTCCACTGTTTGAAGTGTAACTTATGCCTAGCTATGAATCTTCAAGGAAAACATAAGGTATATAATTCAGTTTGCATAATTTTTAAAGTATTAAAATGTTTTCAAAAAGGGGCTTAAATTCTAATATGTTTTGGAAGCATGGTCAATTTCAGAAAATACCAAGTAAGTCTATATTTCTTGCTTTTTAAAAAGCGGTATTAAGTAGATACTAAAACATGCCTAGAACGTCTCATCAACAGTTTACTTTGACTATTTCTGTCAGCTTTTAGTGTAATGTTGACAGCCTCGTAAGTCAGTGTATGCATCACTGTTGGTCCTGCTTCTGAAATTAAACAGGAGCAGTGCCGACAGTGTAACCTTCTACACAGCATTGTAAGAAAAGTTAGCACTTTCGTATTTCCTTCCCTAATGCATAACGATTTTTAATCTGTATGTAGGAATTGTATCACCACCCACAGCCTCTTTCATTTAAAAACTACCTAATAAAAACATTGAATAGTACTCATTGTACCTTTTAAAAGTATTTAGAGAATAGGGATTGGCATAGAGTGGAATGTAAATCAGATTTTACGAAAGGAGGAAATTCTAGATCAAGAGAACTGAGTAGCAGCATCGTATGAGAGAGGGAGAGAAGGAGAGAGAGACGTAGTAAGTAGAAAGAGGCGGAAGTGATTTGCTTAGTGCTGTGCAGGTTAGGAAGGAAAGGATACGAGGGTCTTGCAGAGATAACGAGCGGTGAGGGAAATGAAGGTGAGCAGTGGGTGTGCAGAAGGTGGCGCTGGACTCGTTAGGCTAAAGATCGAGCTCGGCTGTGTGACATAGGCTTGGGTAAGGTGAGGCGGACTCGCGAGCAGCCGAGTCCCCTGCTGAGGTGTGGGATTGGTGTCCACAGCAACCGTAGTGGAAAATCGCTTGTCAGCTGTATTGTGATTGCAGAGGTCTTAAAATGTGTGTGTGCGAGTGAGATTAATTTTATTTTGTAAATAAGGGGAATAAGATAAAAGAAGTGCTTGTCCACAGTCTCTGTATTTTTACTGTTGTTTGGTCAAGCCGGTTGAACTGGTTGAGCTTGGACCTCAGGCATGCCAGGCCAGTGCTCCATTGGGCCCGGTCCCAGCCCTATTGTCCATATCTACAGGGTTCATAAATAGGTTGGGATGACATCCAGATTTTAAAATTTATCACTGTGGAGGTTTTTTCCACATTGTTCTCTGTTGTCTTTAAAGGGCTCCATTTTCTCCTGTGATTTTTTTGTTTTGTTTTGTTTGTTGTGTTTCTCAGTTATCTTTTGTTGCGTGTGTATCAGTAAGTGGTCCTGACTGCTGCCCAAGTACTTGCTTTAAAACTGAGGAGTAGTCATGGCAGGATGCTTTCCCTTATCTTCTGGTACCTGAGTGGATGTTGAGTCTTAAAAGCCCTGGGTCTCAGCCTGCTGATCAGTAAAATGAAGTGGTAATTTTGCCTAGTTAATTAATTAATTGAGCTGGTACAGAAAGCTAGTTGTGCTAATGCAGGTATTGTACTCGAGCAGCATGTAGTAAATCTCTATGATCTGTTGTTATCAAGAGATTATTAATTAGTTTAGCCTACTAATTTAAGGCAGTGGTTTTCTAGTAAAACACATGTAAGATAGAAAGGTTTCAAGCCTTGTTATCTTAGGTGTTGTGTATTGGTCAGTTTCTCCTTTGCTGCAGAAAAATACCCAACAACTACATCTTAGAGGAGGAGAGGGTTATTTGGCTCACAGTTCACAGTGGGTTTGGTCCATGGTCATCTGGCTCCAAGGCGGAAATGCATGGGGCGGACAGCTGCGCACCTTGCAGCCAGGAAGCAGAGAGAGCAGGAGCCAGGACAAGAGCATCCCCTCAGGTGGACCCCACTGCCCAACAACACATCAGTGCCCCATGATCCAGTCACCTTGCAAACACATGAGACTTTGGGATACTTTTTAGATGTAAACTGTAACAGGTCTTGACTCCCTGGTTCACTTTCCTGGTCTATAAAACGAAGATGTGGTATTAAGGTTTCTTGAGTGTTTTTATTGTTTCAGGTGATGTGTCAAGCCTGACGTTGTGAAAATTAAAGACTTAAACTGACACATCAGAAGCATGTATTAATGTTAGCTATTGTTTTTAGTAAGCTGGTTTTATTAGCTTTTATTATCAGAACTACTGTTACAGCTGGCACTTTTATGTGGTTAAGCTTTCATTAATCTGAGTTTCTCTTTTAAACAGTGTATTGAAAATGTTTCTCGGCAGAATTGTCCAATATGTTTGGAGGTAGGGTAAAGCACTTTTTCACATTGGAAGTCTCCCTTCATGACCCAGAATTCTTGGGTGTTCATATTGTCTTCATGCAACACTTACATTTTCCCTCTGTAGGACATTCACACATCCCGTGTCGTGGCTCATGTCTTGCCGTGTGGACATCTTTTACATAGGTAAAAGTAACTTTTTTCTTCTCAAAGATGTTTGAAAATAGTGGAGTTAAGTTTTTGGAAAGGAAATGGGAGTTTGTTTTACTAAAATACTGTTATATTTTCTTTCAGAACATGTTATGAAGAAATGTTGAAAGAGTGAGTTTTGATGGAATTTTAAAAAATTATAATTGTAAGATGTCTTTCCTTTGTGTGTGTGAGTAGGGGGTGGAGGGCAAATACGGCTGCTGATTACACATTACTAGGCCTGGGAGATGCTTCTGATGAGATCAGTAGGGTAGATGAGCAGTGCTAACCGTACCCTCCTTCTTGAGGATATGTGACTGTACCTGAATCCTTACATCCTCCCCCAACTCAAGACAGATACCTTAAGACAGTTATGCCTTACCTCCTCCCCCAGCTCAAGACAGATACCTCTTGTTTCTTAGCCATGCATATCAAGGGACAGTCTCCGCCGGAGGCAGTCATGGTATTGTGAGAACACGGAAAATTCTGTCAGGTCATGAAACCGATCCAGTGATGAAGTGCAAGGAACACTGGTGAAGAGATGATTTAAAAGTGGAACTAATACGAGATGAGAAGTAGCTAGGGAGAAGAGACTGTGTAAATGTGTTTTGATCCTGCTGATTGATGAGCTGAAACGTTCATAACCAAAGAGAGGGAACTTGTTTCAAATTTTTGGAAAGGAAATAATACAATCTGAATAATTTTTCAGGACCTCCATCTCTTTGTAGGAATGTGTAAGAAACAGGTTGTTTAGCGAAGGAGGAGCTCCGTTAGTGTTTCTAAGTGTAGGAAGTATATTCTATGAAGAATGTGGACTGATTCTGTCATAGAGAACTGAGGAAGAGTTTTAAAAAGTACAGTAAGGTACAGGATTTAATTTAACCCTCTTACAGTGAAGTTTCCCGGGTTCCTTGGAGATTACCTTGAGATAGAGACGATGCCCTGGGAAGGCTTCTGTACTGCTTGGCTCGCACCTTCTGCATGTGTGACACCTGCTCTCCGCCTGCCCTTGCAGAGGCTACCGGTGTCCGCTGTGCATGCACTCTGCCTTAGACATGACGCGCTACTGGAGGCAGCTGGATAACGAGGTGGCACAGACGCCGATGCCGTCAGAGTATCAGAACATGACTGTGGATGTGAGTGCAACCCATGCTTACCGCTTTGCGGGCTTCTTGTTGACACTTTTTAAAAGCATTGCTCTTACGCTGAAATTGGTCTAAAAATTGCATTGACATGTCATTGTGATGTTAGTGAGAAGATTCAAATGATCGTAAATTTTAGTATTGTTGAAAAGAAAGTTCTAAGAGTATCTGTGCAGTTCTCCCCAACACTAGGTGGCAGGCAGAAACTGTATCCTGTGTTACTTAGCCGTTACTTGCCCGAGTTAGTCATGTAACTGGCTGGGGCCGGGGGGTGTGTTACTGCTGTTTTATTTGTAATTATTTTCACTTTTATGTCAGGGAAACATAGTTGCTGATTTTTGAAGTTTACATTTTGATTTTTACATTTTGGTTTTTAATGTTCATCTTTTTTATGTTTGTTTTTATGTTTATGTTTTTTATGGTTATTTTTATTCTTTTTTAATGTTTATTCTTTTTTACTTTATTTTGTGTAAATTAGCCTACAAACTAAAGTATAAAAAGTACTTTCGTGCCTTGCCTGACAGACATTGATCATCCGTTTTCCATTAAATTAGAAGTGCTGCTCCAGTAGTTTATTTTCAGCACAGTACTGAGGGTGATCTAAATACATGGTAAACATTTAAATTCTAAGAATTTATTATAGCTAAGGCACACTACTGTTACTCCTCAGGATACCTGCCCTCACTTCAAATGCACGTATCCCATCGGCAGTTCTAGAAGTCCTCTCTTTGTGAGGGTCTTTATGAGATGTGATCAAAAATACAGTGAATACAGGTGCCATCTACTGGACGAGGAGGCTCATAAAAACATTCCCATGTGTCCTTGTTCACCTTTTAACCTGACTTGACACTGTGATTTCTGGTCATTACCCAAAGTCCAAATGGCCATGAAAGGTAAATGTTTTGAATCTAATTAGGAAGTCAAGGCAGCCATGACAGCGCAGCTAGACACCGATGAAAGAAGACTTCAGGACCTGCTTCAAAATGTGGCAAGAATGATGGGATCAGTGTGTTTGAAGTGAGAGGAAGTATTTTAAGGAGGATTAATGACAATGTGTTTTTTTTACAGTAATGAATTGTTTTTATTTAAACATACTGTATTTTTTGGTAACATCTTGTAGATCAGAATGGAAAAGCTTTCTGGTGGTGTAATTTTTGGACATAGACTTTTCTGAACATCTGCAAACACTTCTACACACAAAGATAAAAACCAGATAACAAAGTCAAATAAAAAATTTTTGATTTGTTTCATACTGGAAAGTTTCATAATTCACCGAATAATCAAATTGTTAATATGGGCAATGAAAGGTCACTGAGAGTGTGAACTCATAATTGTGTTTTTTTTTTTTTTTAACCAAAAGCTGGAGTGTATATTCCAGGTAGATATTTTTAAATAATAGTTTTGATAAGATATAATTTACATACTGTACAGCTCATTCCTGAAAGTATACAAGTCATTGCCTTGAGTACATTCATGGAAATGTACAGTTGTGTGTACATCACCACAGTTTCCGAACATTTTCATCATCCAAGAAGAAACCTTGTGCAGTACCCACTAGTAGTCATGCTCCAGCCTCCCTGCGGTCTGGGCAGCCTTTGTACGTTTAGGTAATACTTTTAAAAAAAATTGTTTTCCAAATTATAATCTGGAGCGAATTTGGAAAATTTCTGTTTACAGTGATGTGACTATTCTAAAGCTTATGCTTGACTACATAGTAGTGTACTGATGTATTTTAAGAATAACATCTTTTTCATTTTTCACGATCTAAGGACCAAAGAGATTTATTACTAAATGGCATTTTGTGATTTTTAAGGATGACATGGGAACCCTTTTGTCTTTACTCAGTTTTAGGAAGCACAGTTTTTTAGACTTTAATTTATTCCTGAGGCATAGTAGACTAAGGACCTGTGAAAAATAAGTTTAAAAAAGCAAAGGTAATGAAAATTTTAGTTTCATTATCTGAGATAAATTTGTCAGTGCCAGTGAGGAATAATGAAATCATGTACATTTTAAATTGTAAATATGAAGTATTGATCTGATTATGCGTAGGTTAACTTTTGTTTGTAGTATTTATATTATTTGGGAACTATTATATTTTAAAATAAGCCACCTTTGGTCAAACTTGCATTTTCATTTTCTAAATTCAGAGTTACCCTACCCACTTCGAGTGTTCAGTAAAAGTCAGATGGTGTTTCCCCTCAGGGAAATGTTTAGACATAGTGTATGTTTCTTCTGTCTTTGATGCTGATTGTCAGGTGAGTGTGGGCAATGGCCTTTGTGTGTGTGGTTTGAAGTACTTGTCTTGAAGTTCTCTCTTCACTTTTCAGATTCTCTGCAATGACTGCAATGGGCGATCCACAGTCCAGTTTCATATTTTAGGCATGAAATGTCAGAATTGTGACTCCTACAATACTGCTCAAGCTGGAAGGCGTAGAGTTTCACTGGATCAGCAGTGACCAGCTTGTACGTCACAGGAAAACGCAGCATTTGTGATATAGAAAAAAGCTCTGTGGAAAAGTACTCTCTTGTCATGATGCGTCGTAATCAGTGCACTAGAACCAGTAGGTCCTGTCCCAGCGTCACAGCACACCTCCGCAATACAAGTATGCATTCTGGGTCTACAGAATCATCATAGCTCTTTACTGGGGAATGCTCCTGCTTGTATCTGGGTTGGAATTTCCTTTGGTGTCAGTTGTTTGGAAGCCAATGATGTTTGTTACTGAAACTCATAGCAGTATATTATATTTTCACGGAATTTCATTTTAAGTGGCACTTCACACGCAGTTCATTTCTAGTTCTTGATAGAACTGGACTTCATTCTCCATCTTTAAGGGCTGTCCCATGAAAATAAGTTCCACCTTATTGTTAAAAACCTAATTGTATATGCTTTTGAATTTTTAAAAATAGTCCTTTGGAGCCTATAAATGAATTTTGCTGTAATAAGTGCTAATAAAGTTGTATTGAAACAACATTTTATAGAAGGTTTTTTCAAGGGGTATGTGTTTTTGGCTTAATTATGACAGCATAGTCAGTTTTATAGTGTATTCTTATAAGAATGTTGGGGAAATGTTATATAAAATAATAGATCTTCATTAATGTTGAAAATAATTTCTTTAGGTGGTCCAGAATTATTTCTTCAGAGAATCATTCATTCATTCAGCAGGCATTTATTAAGCAGCTACAAAGTAACAGGTGTGGTTCTAGATGCTGTGGAGACAGCTGTGAACCATGAACACAAAAGTCCCTGCCTCGTGGCTGTGCATTCTAGCATTCTAGAGTTTTTCGTATTTGATCAGCATATGGCCCCCACCCCGTGGTACTGGTGATCAAAACCAGAGGCACTCTACAGCACTTTTTAAAATGTTATTATTTTGAGAACAGGATCTTTTGTAGTTGTTTGGGCTGACTTTGAACCTGCTGTCTTCCTGCTGTACCTCACAGCAGCTGGGTTTATATTGTGCACCAATAAACCCAGGCTTCTCTTTCTTTCTTTCTTTTTTTTTTTTTTTTTTAAATAATGCAAGCATTGGGTGTCTGTGGTAAATGAACAGATTGTGTCTTCCCTAAATGCTTGAAAGTAGAAGCCAGATGAAGGAGAAGGATGTAAGGTATTTTTGGCAAGATCTCTGATTTCATACTTCCTTGGGGTTGGAGTAAATGTATCTCTCAATTCAGGAGGAAGTTAACCAGCCTGCTTGGTGATCAGCTCAGTTCTCAGCGTTAGGTTAGGAAGTAATATGTGTACTTACTGACAAGCAATTAGTAAACACCAGTTATCTTCCTGGCTTTGAGCTGGTTGAAGCTTTTTTTGAATAAAGAAGACAGTTGTAGGATGGGAAATCCTAACAATTCCGATCCATTTTTTCTTTTGTTGAAACCTGTTCCGGAGTGGGCAGCAGTGTTGATTTTCAGCTTGAGACCTAAGATCTTCCTGCTAGCCTCTGTGTAGTCAGCCTTCTGTGACAGAATTCTAGAGAGAATCACCGTTTCAGAGGTTTCCCTCCTCGGTGCTCGGCTCTTGCATTTGGGCCTGTGGGAGGCGGAATGTCACTCTGGGGCATGAGGAGGAGCCGAGCTGCCGCCCGCACGGTGGCAGGGAGCAGGAAGGAAGGAGCCAGGGCCTAGTGCCTCCTTCCGGGGCGTACTCCTGATGACCTAACTCCTCCACTAGCCATGCCTCAGGGAGCTCCTGCTGCTTCCCAGGAGTGCTGGAGGCTGTGGGCCACGCTCTTGGCACATGCGCCTTGGGTGGATGTTTCTCACCCAGCCTCTAGCACCTACCTTCCTGTCCTGTCTGCTCACCCTTCATCAGGGCCGTTGGCCTGGACCAAGCAGCGGCCCTGTCTTTAATTTGCGGTGAAGGTGTGGAGTCTGTTGCCAGGGATTGTTAGTCAGTATATGGGTAAGAAAAAACTAGTTTTCCAGGTGGAATGCTTTTTATTTGTTATCCTGCAAAACTAATTAAAAGTCATGCTATTAGTCTTTAGGGTTTTTGGTTTTTTTGAGGCAAGGTCCTGCCATGTAGCCTAGGCTGTCCTCGAACTCACAGCAATCCCCTTGCCTTGGCCTCCCAAGTGCTGGGATGACAGGCATGCACCACCATACCTGGCGTGCTGTTCTTCATCACAGAACTGTTGGATCTTCAAATAGGAGTGAGTATAGAATAGTAAGGCTCATGTGTCTTTAGCTTCTGTTACATGCTGGGGTCATGCATTAGCACTAACGATGCAGTAGTTTGCTAGGGTAGGTGTTGTTTTCATGTTACAGAGGAGAAATTGAAGGTGTAGAAGTTAATATAGCTATTGGATATTGGAATGGGGAGTCATGTCCAGTCCTGTGACTCCAAACTGTGTGACATTGCTGTTGGCCCAACTTCCATTTTGCTAAATACCCTTCATAAGTCACCTGTTACTGAGGAGCTCATGATATGATAGGTTGACCTTCTGTTTTTTAGAGAGCTCTAGTTGTTAGAAATATTTTGCCTTTTAATTTCTTTTTCTTCTAATTTTTCTGGCTAGACCTTTCAGTACTATGTTGAGAAGAGTAGTGAGACTAGCCATCTTTGTCTTGTTCCTGGTGTTAAGAGTTGTCTTTTAATTTTTCACGGTTGAGTATGTTAGCCTGGGCTTTTCATGTATGGCCTTTATTGTATTGAAGGACATTCCATCTATCCTTGATCTGTTGGAAGGCTGTAGCATGAAAGGATATGGGATTTTGTCAGATACTTTTTCTTAATGAATTATTGAGATGATATGATATTTGGCCTTCGTTCTGTTACTATGATGTACTAATCAGCTGTCCTGTTGCTACGACACAGTACATGAGACCCACACCGTAGAGGAGGTTAAATTTGGTTTACTGCTTCAGATGAGTCAGTTCATGGTCAAATGGGTCCAAGAGATAGACATCATGGGGCAAGGGCATAGCTGAAGAAAGCTGCTCTATTTGTGGTGACCAGGAAGTGAAGCAAGGGAACTGCCAGAGAGGAAAGAGAGGTGAAATACAAGCCCCAAGGGCAGAAGTGTGCCTCACTAACCTGCTAGGTGTTTCTTAATTTGATCAAGTTGACAGATCACTAAGATCATAATCTGCCACTTGTCCATGTCACACTCAAGCACATCTTAAACTATGTTTAATCTCCAAATAAACACAATAGGTTAGTAATTTTATCCAGTGTGATACAGTGATTTTATGTACAACTGAAAATGCCGGGGCTGGGGATTTAGCTCAGCGGCATAGCGCCTGCCTGGCAAGCGCAAGGTCCTGAGTTTGATTCCCAGTACTGGAAAAACAAACAACAACAACAAAAAATGCCATAATCCCCCAAAGTGTAAACCATTTCAGCATTTTTCAAAAGTCGAAATCAAAAGTCTCTTCTGAGACTCAAGGCAAACTCTTTGTTGTTGACTTACGTAAAAAATAAAAGCAGGTTACATAATCGCAAGGTACAGTGGCCCAGGGATCCATTAAATACTCCCATTTCTAAAGGGAGAAATAGGGACATTGAGAACTGGACCAAAGCAAGATGAAAACACTGCAGGGCAAATATTTTTAAGTCCTGAAGCTCCACTTCTGGCCTCCACTCTGCTTTTTGCCTTTGATTCTCACTATAAATCCAGCTGAAAGCAGCCAGCAGTTCCCATGCATAGCCTGAATGTTGCTGCCAGATCAGGTAGTCCACTTCTCTTAATCTCAGACTCCTGCAAAATCTCAGCGCGTGGCAAAATGTAGAATTTCTCTTGTTTTTTCCTTCTGCCAGAGTGTAACATGCATGGTCTCTAGTCCAGTTGCTAATGAAGGCCTTCCCAACTGAAACCTCCTGACCCTGGCCTTTACTAACCACATTCCTATTAGCATTTGAGTCGTGTGAGCTCTGACCACAATCAGCCATCAGGTTCTGCTTACAGCTGGGCATGGTGACTATTGCCTGTAATCCCAGCACTCGGAGGCCGAGGCAGGGCAATTGCCATGAGTGTGAGGTCAGCCCCAGCTACATACTGAGTTGGATGTTAGCCTGAACTGCATAGCAAGATCCTATCTAAAGAAAAAAAAAAAGATTCTGCTTACAATATTCTAGAGCTTCGTTAGCCTGCATCTGCAGATCTTTCCAAACTTTCCACAGACCCATTCCAAAGGCTTCTTAATTACATGGTTAGTATATCAGTGCTTGCTGGAGAAATAGATTTAATGCAAGAGAAGTGCAAATATATACGAATTTACAAGGTTGACTTACAGTGGCCACCCACAGAGTCAGATGTGGAGGTCTTGTCTGCACACTGCAGATTCGAAGGATCCAGTTGAATCCATGCAGGCTCCCGTGTAGTCTGTATCAGGAGGCTGAAGGGTCTGTGATGGAAGGCCGAGGGCTCTGTGCCAGAAGACTTAAGGATCTGTGCTGGAGGCTGAAGAGTCTGCTCTGGAAGCCAGAAGATGACATCCAAAGTGAAGGTGAAGGCTGAAGCTCCTCCGAAGAAACAAGTGAGCCTTCTTCACTTCCCTTTTGCACTGTTCACATGACAAGCTGCCCTAGGGCAGGTCTTCCATCTTCAGTAACTCCTTTCAGCCACACTCAGAATTACATTGATCCAGTTTAGTAGGGCGTTTCTTATTCTAGTTGACACAGTTAACTATTATAGGAATAGAGTCACAGCAGTGACTCCGCTTCTATGGTACCAGTTTTCTGTGTTAGCTTTGCTGCTGTCTCAACACACTACACAACATCCACAATTTAAAAGAGGAGTTTTATTGGCTAAAAGTTTCAGAGGAATCAGTCCATAGTTGGCTGACCCAAAGGTAGAAACAGCATGGCTTAGTTCCTTGTGGCCAGGAAACAGCAGGGAAAGGATGCCAGAGAGAAAGGGGTGAGAGACCAGATAAAGACCCCAAGAGCATCCCTCCATGATCCACACCCAGGAGCAAGCTTTACTAATCTGCTAGGACTTTGAATGCAATCAAGTTGACATAGCACAATCAACAGTCATATAGTGGGTGACATTTACTGGTTTTCGTATGTCCACATACTTACACCACCAAGATCACACTTGATGTTGGTGAACGGTCCTTTGTAATGTGCTGTTAACATTTGGTTTGCTAGTTGAGGATTTATATACAAGCATGTTCATCAGTGGTACTGGTCTGTACTTTTCCTCACTTTGGTATCCTTGACTGGCTTTGGTGTCAGGTAACAGAGACCTAGTGTGTGCTATGGTAGGTGCTACACGGGTTGCCTGGTAGAGCACTAGCCAGTCTCTAGTTCTGCAAGGATTTCTACAGATGGTGTGCTGAGGGCATGCCAAGCACTTAGACTTGTAGAGCTTTGATCAGGATTAAAGTGTTGCTTTTTCTGAGGCAAGCAATATAGGATGTTCAAATTAAAAGTCTACGCTTTCTGTAAAACCCTGCCTGCTCCTAACTCTTCTCCCATTTTCACTCTTCGACCTTTTCTGTTTTGTCTATTCTGCTTTTCTAGTC